CTAGACACCCAGAAGTTGTGATGGCTTTGAAAGTTGCTTTTTAATATTTGCTATAAATTTAGTAGGTAAGCTAGGTAATCCCCTGTCTGTTTGGTCCCCTTTTAAAGTTTCTTTGCAACTTCAGTTCTCTTGTTCTTGAGAGGTACTGCCCAACTGTTTTCTAGATGTCCCTGCTCCTGGAGAAAAAGCCTCTTGTCTTTGACTATGACTCCTGTGTAGCAGTAGTGGCCCCTAGAGGCTGGCTCTTCACTTCCTCTCCTGCTTGCATGCAGCTAGATTATTCTTCCCAGAAGTTGCAGGTAGGGAGGCAGAGAGCTAATGCCTTGTTTTTTGAACAAGTTAATTATTCCAACAGCTTCTCAGTTCTTTTTTTGAATCTTTCTTCCAGTACTAGACATCTGGAAGCATTGCCCTAGTCACTTAACCAGCATAAACTGTAACTAGTTTAAAAAGACTGCAAAGTTGAGAATTCAGAAGTTAATACTGGACAGTTGGGTTCAGCCTAAATTCGGCTCTGTTGTGCACCTACAGTGTGATACAATCATAAATTGCATGATGATGTTTTCCCTGTAGGATCTTTTTCTAATTCAAAGCATAGGCATGCATTGGAGCTATGAAGCGAGAGAGCCTGCCTGTAAGGCCTCAGCCTATTTAGGATTGGTCTGTTCTGGAATAGTTTTTCTCTCAGAATGCAAACTTGTGACTGGAGCTAAAGTTGACGAGAACTTTACTCTGAACATATTTGGTTGTATAAAAAGGGTGAAGACTGGCAGGGCCTTGGTCTCTCAATTGAGTTTTAAAAATTAGTGGTTTTAAAGGGAGTACCATAATATGTCAATAATCTCTCATTACAAGGGACAATGGGCATGCAGAACGTACTTTTCCCCTCTTTAATGAAGGAATATTCTTTCTCTTCTTGCTCCATCTCTTTCTTGGGTGTTTTCTGTTATGACTGCTTTTTTGGCTCCACATTTTTATGGATTAATTTATCTTTTTAAAATTACAAATTTTAACAAATTCACCATCTAGTGGAGGTGGAATAGAGTCTTTTATTTCATAAATCTGCCACTTGGTATGAAACCCTGCCGCTTAAAATCATAGGAAGTAGGTCTAGAAAGGATATCAGTCCATCTATTCTATCCTTCTGTCCCATGAGTTGATCAACTTTTTTCCACAAGTAAAAAGATTTTATGAATAATGTGTTCCTTTGTAGTTCTGTCAGAAGAACTAACATTTTTAGGATGATGATGCATAAACCCATTTTGAACTGTTTTGTGTGCAAATGTGGCTGCTATTTTTTTCCTTTCATTTGCTTAGCCTATATAAAGGTGCATATCTGCCCTGCCTTCTGGCTGACTTAAGACTAACATAGCGAACTATCTCTCTCTT